CACCTTATTAGGCAGCCTATTTAAGCAAATTTCCCATCAACCCATTTGCTACCAGTTGCTTCAGCCCCTCAGCCACCTGTAGCCACTGGGGGAGTTTACAAGTATTCACTCGTCACTCCCATTATATCTGTGTAATCATATCGGGATAGTCATTATGTTGGACCCTAGATGACAAACACAAACTATGTTCTAATGCTGCAATAAACTGTTGAACGTAAGTTGTCTGACTGAAATCTACTTATGACCGGTTTTATTTAATCCCCTACAATTCCAGGATGTAAATTTAACCTTAATATTATGAGTCATCCAGTTTACCATGGAAATTTGAACCACATTGCCCTGTAACAGTAAGACGATTAATAGACGTCTGGTAACATAGAAAGCAAAAAAAACTAAACAAAACAAAATAGACATTTTAAAAAACATCAATCAACAAAACATAGTCCTGAACTTGAGTTTTCCCTCTTAACGTTACCCCGATGTCACTGATAGACAAATCCCCTCCCACTCCCATGTAAGGCGCCAAACATGTCCACACAGCTGTAAGGGGCCGCTCATCTCTGTATCTTCTCTGTACACTTTCTCACTTGCTTTAAGTCATTACATTATTCTAAGTCCACCAATTAACAGTAACTCCCAAAATACACCAGGAGAGCCAAAATACACCAACGCCATAGTCTGCCCTCAATCATTTTTGGACCAGAATGTTCCTATAAAAACAGTGTTGCGGGTGTAAAAGGGCTATAGGCTTACTTGTAACCTGGCCTTGTTAGTCTAAAAATGCTGCATATGTAGACAGCCATAAATAAAAATATTTGGCAAGAAAATTGCTCTATTAGTTTATGAAAAGCGCAAAAAGTTAAGCATTTTAACAACACACAAAAAAATCTTATTCACCGTCCCAGAGAACTACAATAACATGGGTTCAACATTATGTAATCACCCTCTCTTCAGCGCTTCTCTGCTTCCCCTAACTTCTCAAGAAACTGCTCTGCTTCGGCTGGTGTGTCGAAGAAGTAGGATCTGCTGCCGTGGGAGACCCTCAGGCAAGTGGGAAAGATAATTCCATACTGAATGCTTGTGGCTTGCAGCCACTGTTTTACACTCTCAAAGTGCTTCTGCTGTTTGTGAATTTCCATAGGAAGATCGGGGAAGAACACCACTCGTCGGTTCTAGTAGAGCACACTCCCTTTCGCCCTGGCTGCATTCACAACACGTATCTTGCCTCGGTAGTCAAAAAACTTTAATATCAGAGCCTTCTGCTGCATTGGGGTCAGATCCTAGTCCAGAAATCCCATGAGCCTTCTCTATTACCAGCTCCATCTCCTCTGGAAGCCACCGCTTGAGAAATGGGCAAGCATTGCTTCCCTCAACGCCTTTGGGGAGATGCACCAGCCTTAAGTTGTTTCTCCTGCTGTGGCCTTCTAAGTCAACTACTTTAAAAGTAAGCACTTTAACCTTTTCCTTGAGAGCAGCAGCAGCAGCTGCCTGCAATGCCGTGATGTCGTCTTCGGCCCCAGAAATTTGTACTTCCGCCTGTGAGACTTTGTGCATTCTTTGATTTCCTCCTTTATGCTGTTCACTGCAAGCAGTACATTTTCAAATTTAGCAGAAAATTCTGCTTCATGTCTTTTATTGCCTTGAGAATATCCTCTGAGCTAACGCTCTGCCCACGTTCATCACCTCTGCTCCATCTCCACTATGGGCATTCGTATGTGCACTTGTAGATAGCAAGATATCTCCCTCTGACTCTAAATTTTCAGTTATGGTGTCTAGCTTTTTGAGGTGACTTTTCTTTGAAATAAGGGGGCCAATGAAATAAAATCGCCCCTCATGGCACCTAAAGATTAAAGGTGAGCCTTTACAGGATTTAGGTCAAGTTTGAAGCAGAGCAAAAAAGGTGTGACTGATCAGCTCTGCCCACAATAGGTAAATCACCTTTTAAAACAAAAAGCATTCATATAACTATTGTGTAGGTTGCATTTCAGCTAATTTGTTACTTAGACACACTCTTGTTGTGTACGTGTACTAATATTATGCCATACCTGAATTATGTTTCACAAATGGTAGACCTGAGAGGTCTGAGGCCTCTGCAGGAATATTTTAGATAAGATGTTTAATGTTTTGTGTTTGGAGTTGCCATCCTGTCTCTGCTAATGTGAACCTTGAGAGTATGTATCTCATGAGGAAAATGGGCATCTTGTCATCTGTGTGATTGTGATGTAGACTGCTAATTGTTCCCCCTAATTTGGTGTAATTCTGAAATGTTTAAAATAGTGAGCATATTATGTACTTTTCCACAATTTGACGTAGCTCCTTGAGGTCTCAATACATATATTTATTATATATTTATATCAAAATACCAAAATGATAAAGTTCCTCAACACCCTTCTTAATCCTGTGAGGAGCACTGTTGAGAGTGACCAGTTTGTGGGCCTTTTAATGATAGTGAGCCCCTGCTTCCCTCTCTTCTACTGAGAAGTAGGGAGGGGATTTGTGGTGTAGATGTGCTGGGAGAACTGAAAACAGGTTATTGTTTTCACCTGTCTGTCTGTGTAGGGGTGGAGTAGGATACATGCTACCAAGTTAATGGTGAAGACTGCCTGCCTGCAAAAGACAATAGAGACACAGGCAGGATTTCTCATTGCACAACTGATCAGTCCAGTCCAGTGTTACAGGCCACTTCTAAAGGGTCCTCTGACCAAATTTAAGCTAGATCTGGTCAAACTGCTAGGACTTACCATTTATTGTTGCCAGTAGAGGGCACTATGAATTTGACTAGTCAAATCATTCAGTGTTTATTGTTTTAATGGGCTGTTTTGTATCCAGCCCTAAAAGGGATAGTTCACGGAAAAATAATAAAACTACAGAAAATAATTTAAATGCCTCCATACCGCTCATGTGGTGTCCACAAGCCCCGACATTCATATTGGAATCGTAACAAGGTAATTTACACCGTGTGCACCAGAAGTGGCTAAGCTAGTGGATGTAGCCACAACAACACGCAGCACACATTTGCCCTTGGGTGAGAGAATGTGTGTGTGTGTTTCTGGTGTGCCTGTGTGTATGTGAATGCGTCTCAGAGGAGGCTATCATTTAGGCTAAAAACATTGTGTAAATGATGCCGTTTTTAGTCGAATATGAACATTTGGGCTTGCGGACACTTGGATGATATCACATGAGAAGTATGGAGGCATGTTATGTTTTTTCTTCTTTTCTATTACGTCTGAAGAAGCAGTCACAATTGACTTCAATTATATTGGATTCGGCTGCAACACTTTACCCCTGAGTCTCAAGAAGTGTTTTGTGGACTCAAAGACTTTACCCACCTTTCCATTGACATAGTGGTGAGTGGATAATGAGTGAATTTTCATTTTTCTGTGAACTATTCCTGTAAGCAGAGCAGGGGCTGATAACCATAACACTGTGTGACTGCGGGGTGTGGTTAGGGTGCCAACTGCTGGACAACAGGGAGGAGTGGCTCAGCCGGTGATCGGACAGCTGTGCAGAATCAGGTAATCAGGCAATCAATAAGAGCAATTTATTAAGACAATTTAGCTGACATCCAAGGCTTTGGCTTCCAATTCTGTCAATTTAAACTCAGATCTTACCTTGTCACAGCTACAAGCTGCATCTTTAAAGTATTAAAGTATGCAAAGTATACCCAGTACACCCTTGCCAATGTGACTATTTGCCGTAGTTATTTAGTTAATATCCTTTGTATTAATAATGCTTGAAAGTTGCCTACCAGCCTTCACTTTATCCCATGACTCTTCAAACAACTTACGTGCTAACAGCAGCAGGCCCAAGAACAGCAGTCCGATGCCTGCAGGCCCCAACTCTGCTCCTCCATTGGCACTGGGTTTTCCACACACCCCTCCATCCTCACAGGTACAAACTTGAACCTTCATCATCTGTGGTTCTGGACAGGCCTCACCCTGTTCATCCTTCACTACAAATTCCACTTCATAGAAACCAGGCCACAAGGACTCCTGAACCCTTATGATAGCTGCAGTATCTGCAGGAAAAAAGACAAAGCTATGAGACATGTTGAAAATCATTTTGAGTCCCTCAAAAACTATCAGGTCAAAGGATTCTGGAAATTATGGAATTCCACACTTGTAAGATGCAGCCAACAAATCCCAGGTGGTATTCAAGTTCAGAACTTTATTACACATCATTCTCTTCTCACCCCATTTTCTTTACTTTATTTTCACACTGTCAATCCCTGCTTTTCCACAATATAAACATGAGATGTTAATGCTAAGAGCAAACTTTAAACAGGTAAATTAAGGCAACCTGATACTGCTGTGTGCTAAGTGTAATGAGAGATGCAACCGTGCATAATTCCAACTTTACCAAACCGGACCCAAGAAGTTGTCAGGTGAGTGATGTCCAGTGCTATTGAGTTTGCATTGTGAGTAATGACCTTACTATTGAAAGGTTGGGTGTGGAAAGACCTATATCCTTGCAGTAGTAGGGGTATGCATATAAGCTTTGTTCTGTTGTGTCAAGGGAAACACCCCAAAAAGTCCCCATTTGGACAAAGTAAAGTGGCCATATTTTTGTTATTGAAATGCCTGCCTCAGTCTCCAATATTCTGCAGTATTTTCCTCACCATTGAGATGCTCCACCTGCCACTTGCCATTAGTGCCTTCTGGGACAATACTGAAGTCAAAAGGAGGTCCATTAGGGAATGCATCCTCATCTTTAGCATTCACAATGACAGCATCATCCGTGGTACACATAGTTTGGATATTACTGGTCAGGGTGGGACAGTGGTCATTAAAATCTTCCACCTGGATGGCTACAGTGCCAGTGGCTGTTTTACTTGGCATGTCTGTTAGAAAAATACAATAATGAACAGTTCATTCAGCATTTTATTCATTTATCTTTCATTTTGTCAGACACAAGATGAGAGACACAACTGGTTACCATACTAAAGATGTGAGGTTGATGATGCAAAATTTCTCCTCACTTCATTCTTAGAAATCTGACTTATTTAGTCCTTGCACAGTCAGTACAGATGATAGACGTAGCTGGATACTGGCTTATGCTAAGACTTATATTCTTTAACTGACTATGGACTCTTCATTCATGAACCCCGGATAATGATATGAACCCCATATAACTTGTTTAGACAAAAAACTGATGAAACTGATGATACAGATAATTGTAAAACATGTTTTGTCTTTCTTCCTGGAAATGTATTATTATTCAAAAATGAATAACTGAGACTGTGGGCTTCTCCTTATCACAATGCTTAAAAAGCACTCCCAGTACCCTACCTTACTTCACTTGCCTTGTTTTGTTTAATAGACAATTTTCACGGAATCCAATTTGACATACAATAGTAGGCAAACACAGGTGTTACTAATCATATTAATTAAGGTTGTGCTCTATTTAGATGGAGTATTAATACATGTGATTAGTAAAAAATGTGTTAACCTAATATTTCATGTCGAAAAAGCTGCCATGAAAAAGGTCTATGTTTGGATGCCTATGCATAGTGATGTTATTGGATATCAGAGATATTCAAAAGCAAAGGAAGCCTAAAATTGCTGTTTGGCATGACTTCAGATAATTCGGTCTGCACAAAATAAAAAAGGTCTGGCCTTTTGCATGTTTTGGTTTCTGACTCAGTGTTAGTTAAAAACGATGTATTTCCCTTGAACTACTGTATCTAATATATCTCTTCAAAAAATCTCAACAAAATCATAAATTCTTAGGCTTTCCTTCCTCTCCTTTTCACAACTAAAGTAATATTTTTTCACTTCCCCTCACTAAGCCTCCTCCAAAACAGTTTTGAGCCGCCCCGGGGGAGGCCCACCTCCCACTGCGAAAATCTCCGCCCTAAAGCCATCTTCAAAGCACAACTTTACTTTTCAGATCCTCTATTGGCAAGACTGAATTACCAAAAATCTTCCCGGCAGCATCTATTCACATCTACTTTTCATGAAGACTACTAGTTTTACATATAAAACATCTGGTGCTGGAGTAGTTATAAAGTTATAAATACTAGTAGATCAGGCTTACCATCTGTAATGCAGAGCACTTTAGCAAAGTATGTCCCATTGACCAAGAATGGAGATTCTCTGTCAGGTATCTTGTTTAGTTTGATCTCAGCTGTTTTGGGGTCGATGTTAAGCCAGTTGTCAGGGTCTGAGCCTTTGGCATACCTATAGAAAGAATACACTGTTTCAGTTATTATTATTAAGCTGATGTCGATTTAACTGGAGAACATTTAATGTGCAGTTGTATTCACTGACCTGACATTCTCAGCTCGTTTCCCAGTGTCTTCATCTAATGCAAAGTAGTGGGCAATAACATCTTTAATGTTAATGGAGTGGCCTCCCTCTGAGATTGGGATAGCTTTGACTTTAGGGTGAAAATGTGGCCCCTCCGGCTCATTCTTCACATTGATTTTGATTGGATAAGTTTTAAATTTAGTCCCACTTTGCCATGAGGATCCTCCAGACCCACCTGCAGCCCCTCCCCCACCCCCTCCCCCACCTGCAGCCCCTCCCCCTCCCCCACCTGCAGCCCCTCCCGCTCCCCCTGCCCCACCGGGGAAACTTATACCACCTCCATTATTGACCATTGATCCATCAAAGAATTGAGCCTTGTTCCTAACAACTAGTCCCAGGTCAAGGTCCTTCACATTTTCATAATCCACTGCCTGTAAAATGGCACAAACAAAGACATTTCGAACATCAAAAACATTATTAATATTTGCTCAATAGGCTACGTATATAGTAGAATTGTATTTGGTGGGAAACAATGGGAGCTAGTTTTGGAGAAGTTAAAAAAATTAAAGATCTCTAACAGAGATTGAATTGTTGGGATGAGTTGCATGACATTTATCTGCTGTTAGTCAAATCAAGTAATGGATTATATTTTTCATTAGTTGACAGCAATTATAAATAAATATATAAATTACACCAATTATTCTGTGTAACTCTTCGGTTTGAATTGTAATATAATTTTAAATGTATTAATGCACCTGTTATATGTTGCAATGTCCAGTGGAGTGCACAATTATTTTGTATTGCAAAATAGTACAGTTGGCATGTATCTTCGCAAGGTGCACACAGAGATGGTTGACTGGAATTTTCATATGTTAATTATTGCAATGTAAGCTTTTTTGAGATCAATTACCTGCAATTCACTATTTTTGCTATTTTTCACTATATTCGCTATTTACCAACCCATCTCCAGCTGTGTGATGTTATGCTTAAACTATCTCTCCCTCGCTCATGACATCACTTTTTTTATACATACAAATGTATGTACCGTATCTGATGCAAAATGGCACCTCAGAGAGCAGCCTTGACATTCTATCATGAAACCTGCTCTAAAAACTTAAATAGTCTGTTTTTATTCATTACTGTTCCAGTCTTAGAAAGTAAAATTCATCCATAAACATAGGTTCACACAATGCCTCCCTTTTCACACATATTTCACACAGTGAATGATGTGCAGTTCAGTCTTGCCTAACACTTAAGCAAGTGGACTCGTGACATGAGCTGAAGAACGTGGCACACAGACTGCAGGAGCCAAGGATGTGCTTGCTAGCTCAACGTATGCTGTAATAAAATAAATAAAACCTACCTTGTCAAGCATTAGGATGCCTTCATTGGTGTTGGGGTCAGTTCTAATGCTGAAGTATCCAGCCTCATTGCCTTTAACAAGATCAAACACAGCTTCCCAATTGTCTGTGCCTTCCAGGTCTAGGTCCTCTGTTTTGATTCTCATCACCTCCACGCCTTCTGTGTTCTCCATAATGCTGCCCTCATACTGCAAGTAAGACAGATGAAATGAAAATAACAGGGCTAATTTCCAAGTTGAATAGTCATCCATAAGCACATCCATTTCTCAATGTACTCTTTTCTTTTTCTCATTAACACTTAAAGCTATGGAAACCACCAAGTGTTTCTGTTTCTGTTCTTTTTACCTAAATGTTTTGTTTTGTTCTATTGCATTGTGTTTTGTTGTGTTCCGATACACAAGCTGCTATGACACCTTAATTTCCCTCCAGGGATGAATAAAGTACTCTATCTATCTATCTATCTAAGAACATGCTTGTATTGAAGACTGTGAGAAAGAAAATTACCTCCTCTTTTTTCAGAGTTGGAAGATTGTCATTCACGTCTCGCACATTAATGGTAACAGTGCTAGTTGCACTATTTCCCCCTGATTCGCCATTTCGGTCTTGACCCTTCACTGTCAGAGTGTAATGATCCACTTTCTGAAATTATAAATCATAACAAAATGATCAAATCTAGTTGAAGTCAGAGTCAGGCTATGTTAAAAATTAAGGAGACACTTTGCTTTTGTTGATACAGCACCTCTCGATCCAGGTAAGGCTTGTTAACAAAGATGGTCCCATCATTGGTAATGTAAAACATGTTACTGGGTGGATTCTGATCTATGATGCTGTAGGCAATCTGAGAGTTTTCATTCCCCGGTTCATCAGCATCAGTTGCAGTGATTGCCATTACTGAAGTCCCTGCAAAAACAAGATTAAGTGAAACAGTCATTAAACTGAACAGTGAATGCAGGTAGAGCCTACTGCTTTCAAAATAATTTCCGACAATGGCTGTACTCAAAGATCGTAGTGCAATTATTATCTTTCTCCTTAATTATAAGCATTTACTATTGCCCAGCTCCACATGATAGAAGACCAAGCAATGTCTAGGAAATGCACACCTTCATTTCAGAGCCTCTAATTTACTCAAAATAACAGCTATGTATTCCTTATGTATGTCATTCTTACATGGAGACATTTTCAGGATGTTAAGGCTAGAGACGAGAACCAGCAGATAACATAATATTAATGTGTTGGGACCTGGTATTTGTGAACCATAGTTGAGCCTTCATGTGTAGCCAAAAGCCTGACTGCATATCTCCTTTGAAGACAGAGAGCTTCCAGAACTCAGTCTCCCAGGGTGCTTCATCTTCACACATAGGTGTTAAAACTGCTCCTGGAGACAACTCTCAACCACTATTGGTCCCTGTGTGCCCCATGACCCATGAGGTCACAAGGCCAATAAATACTAAGTTTCCCCTCTCCTCTCTCTTTTTCCTACTGACCTCTCCCGGAGGAGTAGGTACAGCTCCTGCTCTCCCAGCAAGGGAGACTTCCTCCCTACCCAAGCTCTACAACCTCAAGCAGGCCTGCCTGGAGCAGACTGCTAAAATCTTCCAAAGGCAGCAACACAAGAGCCTGCCTAAGGACTTCAGCACAATTGGCCACAACACAAGGTCTGACCAACAGATGCACAACAGGAGCCAGAAACTAACAAGACCACTTCACTGGACTTCAAACAGCACATCCAAAAAGGAACTTTTCCTCTTTTTCATGGACGGGTAGAACAACTGGGCTTTATTATTATTATTAGGCTAAGCAAAGGAATGTTAATTCTATTTCTATGTCACATGATGTTTATAAGTTTGACTTGTGTTGTTGTGATATTTGGTAATTATTTGAAAGCTAATGTTAGGTCTGTTATGCTGTTCACTCTCTTTGAATGCATCTAACTACTTTCTTAAACCTGGCACCAACACCTCACACACTCAGCTCCCCAAACTTAACACATACATGTAATGCTTTTATAGCCATCACTGGCAGTATCCCAATGCTTTTATAGCCATCACTGGTGACTGCAATCATGCCACACTGGACAAACTTTACCTTCATTCCGCCAGTATGTTAACTGACCCACAAGAGAGAGTAAAACACTGGACCTTCTGTATGCAAATGTTCCGGATGGATACAGTGCCACTGCCCTCCCCCCACTTGGCAGATCAGACCACAACCTGGTATTGCTGACACCGAAATATGTCCCTCTTGTCCAGCGACAGCCTGCATCCACAAGGACTGTGAGGAGGTGGACTCAGGAGGCCAATGAGGCACTGCAGGACTGCTTTGAGTCCACTGACTGGGATGTGCTCTGTGAGCCACATGGGCACATTAACAGCATGTCAGACAGCATAACAGAATAAATACAATTCTGTGAACAAACCACATTGCCAGCCCAGACTGTACGCTGCTTTCCGAATAACAAGCGTTGGATCACCACTGAACTGAAAGCGTTCAACAAGAAGAAGAAAGCCTTCAGGTCTGGGGATAGACAAGAACAGACGGTCATACATCAAGACCTGAGGGGAAAGCTGAGGGAGTGCAAAGACTCCTACAGGAGGAAACTGGAGGCCAAACTCCAGCAGAACAAATTAAGGGATGTGTGGTCAGGAATGAGGGAAATAATTGGGTTCTAGGTGAAAAGCAGACAGTCAGGAGGTGGCCTGGAGCCTTTTGTGGTGGTGGAGAGGAGGGCGCTGAATAAGCTTTTATTCATCATAGATAATCAAGAGCACCCTCTCCACCACCTGGTGGACAGACAGCAGACTGCTTTCTCCAACAGACTGGTTCAGCTCCGCTGCTGACAGATACAGTCTTTCCTGCCGAAAGCAATAAGACTGTACAATTCCCACCTCTGATAGTATGTAATAGTAATTACTGCTGCAATAACTGTCAATTAATTATTTATTTTGCTCATATTAAATTCATACTAATTTTACCACATATAGTTATATCTATTATTTTAGTCATGTCAAACAAATACTGCATCTTACTCTTTGTGGATGTTGCCCTGCTGCCGTGACACAACAATTTCCCAAATGGGATCAATAAAGTTCATCTTATCTAATCTAATCTCAGCCACATGCTCCCACCACTCCAGGGGGCCTTTTGTCTTCATGGTGGCCAGCCGCATTTTGAATCTCATTCACTCACACACACACACACCCACACACACACACACACACACACACATACTCACATACACATCTGCACATCTGTATATAGTAAGTACACCTTTTGTCAGTTTGTGTGTTTATACGTTTATTATTTTCATAATAAATGTTTTTCTTTAAAACATGTCTTCATTAATGTTGCATAAGTGTGAATTCACAGGGAAAACTAGGGGAGGCGGAATCTGCTTTTACATTAACAAAGGATGTTGTACTGATGTCACGGTTCTAAACAAATCATGCAGTCCTCACCCGGAGACATTATTCATTAACTGTAAACCTTTTTTTCACCGCGGGAGTTTTATTCTGATCGGAGTCTACATCCCTCCTCAGGCCTGTGTAACTGAGGCGTTACTACACCTGGCCGACCAGATAAACAACGTGGAGAAAAAACACCCGGACTCTCTGCTCATTGTTTTGGGGGATTTGAACAGAGCAAAGCTCAGCCATGAACTGCCTAAATATAAACAGCACATTAAGTGTCCCACCAGAGACACAAACACTCTGGACCATTGTTACACTGTTTTAAAGGACTCATACCACTCTGTCCCCCGTGCAGCCTTGGGACTTTCTGATCACTGCATGGTTCATCTTATCCCGACCTACAGGCAGAAGCTGAAATGTGCTAAGTCTATGGTCAAGACAGTGAGGAGATGGACCGACGATGCCATTCTGGAATTACAAGCCTGCTTTGACTGCACTGATTGGAGTGTTGTTGAGGCTGCAGCCTCAGACCTGCATGAACTGACTGATACCGTGACATCAGTAATCACTTTTTGTGAGGACATGTGTGTGCCTACCAAGACCTTCTGCACATATAACAACAACAAACCCTGGTTCACTGCAAAACTCAGGCAGCTCCGTCAGGTCAAGGAGGAGGCCTACAGAAGATGGGACAGAGTCCTGTACAACCAGGCCAGAAACACACTGACGACCAAGGTGAAAGCAACTAAGAGGAGCTACGCTGAAAAGATCAACACTGCAGTGAACAATCAACTGGCTGACGAGCTGAATGTGTTTTACTGCAGATTCGACTCATTCACACCTCTCCCCCCCTCAGATATTCAAGACCCATCCACACCCCTCCTGCCACCTCTCCCCTCTGACCCCCCACCAGCACTCAAGATCTGTGAAGAGGACGTTTGTCTGCTTTTCCACAGAATATCCTGTCTGAAGGTCTGTGCTGACCAGCTGGCCCCCATCTTCACCCAGACCTTCAACAGATCCCTAGAGCTGTGCGCAGTCCCTTCATGCTTCAAACTCTCCACAATAATCGCGGTCCCCAAGAAACCCACCATCACAAGACTGAATGACTTCAGGCCTGTCACCCTCACGTCTGTAGTTATGAAGTCCTTCGAGAGACTGATATTGTCGCACCTGAAGGACATCACAGACCCCCTGCTGGACCCCCTGCAGTTTGCTTACCGGGCAAACAGGCCAGCGGATGATGCTGTCACCATGGGACTGCACTACATTCAGTGGATTACAAACTTCCTGACTGACAGGAAGCAGCAGGTGAGGTTGGGGAGCATCACATCCAGCAGCCGGACTATCAGCACTGGCGCCCCCCAGGGGTGTGTGCTCTCCCCACTGCTCTTCTCCCTTTACACCAACAACTGCACCTCTAAAGACCTGTCTGTTAAACTCCTGAAATTTGCAGACGACACAACGTTCATCAGCCTTATCCAGGACGGTGACAAGTCTGCTCACAGACTGGAGGTTGAACGGCTGGTCTGCTGGTGTGGTCAGAACAATCTGGAGCTGAACACGCTCAAAACTGTGGAGATGACGGTGGACTTTAGGAGACGCCCCCCCACTCTGCCGCCCATCACCATCACCAACAACTCTGTGACTGCTGTTGAAACCTTCAAGTTTCTGGGCTCCACCATCTCCCAGGACCTGAAGTGGGAGACCAACACAGTCACCATCATCAAAAAGGCCCAGCAGAGGTTATACTTCCTGCGCCAGCTCAGGAAGCTCAACCTGTCTAAGGAGCTGCTGTCACAATTCTACTCTGCCATCATTCAGTCTGTTCACTGCTCCTCAATCACTGTTTGGTTTGGATCGGCCACAAAACAGGAAAAGAACAGACTGCAACGGACAATAAGGTTTGCAGAGAAAATTATTGGTGTCAGCCTGCCCTCCATCCAGGACCTGTACCTGTCCAGAGTCAGGAAACAGGCAGGTAACACTTCTGCAGACCCATCACACACTGGATACAAACTTTTTAAACTTCTCCCCTCCGGAAGGCGCTACAGATCACTGTACGCCAAAACATCCCGATATAAGAACAGTTTTTTCCCCTCAGGCTGTCTCTGTGTCGAACAGCTAAAACCGGACTCAAATATCAGTAACATCACCTGTAAAATATCTGTACATACTAATATACTGTGCACACTGTATATGTATATTTCTTATTTCATCCATGCACTATGCACCATTGCACCAACTATTTAGCTTTTTTGTACATGTACATGGCTTTTCTTTTTTGTCTTTGTTCTTGTTTATCTCTATGTTGGTTTGTTTTTTTCAACTGTTTGTACTAAGAGAGTAAAGTAAAACCAGAGTCAAATTCCTTGTGTGTGTTCACATACCTGGCAATAAAAGTGATTCTGATTCTGATTCTGCCAATCTCTACACTGTCAAGAACTCCATATCCTTCATCTTTGCTAGCTATTGATGTGGT